TCCAGCTGAGAGAGGCTGCTGCTGGTGGCTAACCCGTCCCTCAGCATAACCCTATTCAAGTGCAGCTGCGTAAGACCAGGCGGCATTAGCACAACTGGGAGAATGATGCTCTCCCTGTCATTGCCCACACTGAAGATCTTCATTGAATGAGGCAAACACATTGGAGCTTCTCGAAGCGGACATCCCTTCAGACACAGCTGCTGCAAGCGTGAGAGGCTCTCCATGGTTCTCGGTGTAGATGCAAGCTTGACACACATCTCCACTTTGAGAGTCTCAAGGCGGGTCAGCTGAGTGATGGACTGGGGCAGCTCAAGCATCTCGTTGCGCTGGCTCAAAATCAGATGCCGCAGGCAAGAAAGCTGCTCCATACCCCGTGGAAGACTGATAACTCCAACCTTGCTGATTTCCAGCCGCTTCAGAGATGGAAGCTGAGTAAACGACAAAGGGAGCTGCTGCAACGTCTTCATCTTGCTCAGAACCAAGGTCTGGAGATTTTTCAGCTCGCTTATTTCCTCCGGAAACGATGTCAAGCCAACTTCTTCAATTGTTAGAGACTTGAGAGAAATCATGCAGGAAATTGAATCTGGGAGAATGACAATGGCAGAACACCCCATTATCGACAGTGCAGACAACCCTGTGAGCAATCCAAGGGAATCAGGCAGTCTTAATAACTCCGACTCCCTAATCACCAAGATTTTCAGCATCGGCAAATTTCCAATGTCTTCAAGCAGGCTAAATAAACTGTAGCAGCAGGCGACAATGAGCACCTCCAAGCAGCTGAGAGAAGTGAGTGAACTTGGCAGCTCTGTCAGATCGACGCTCGCGAAAATCATGAGCTCTTGGAGGCATGGGAATAGTCTGCCAAAATCACCTCTTAGACCTGTATCTGTACAGCCGCTTAGCAACAAGCGTTTCAGATGCACGCATGGCAATCCAGATGCGAAAAGCACATTGAAGATGATAGAATGTCCGTTGAACTCCAACGACTGGAGAGATGTCAACTGCGAGAATGAAAAACCCTCTTCGTCTTCATCCATGTCAAGCGAGCTATCAGCAGGAAAGTATACGCTGGTGAGGTTGGGGAGATGGGCCAAAGGTGCCAACTGGCGAAGCTTCATACTGCTATATGGGGCTTCAATCCTAAGTTCAACAAGAGAGGTCAGATCCGTGAAGTTGTCATTCCCAATTGCAGATGCATCACGCAGAGTCAGCGTCTGTAGACAGGTCAGTCGGAAGAAAGAGCTGGGAATCTTGGTTTTGTAATGCAGACAGTAAAGAGAGAGCTGTTCCAGATGGCTGCAATGTCGAACGAAATAATCCAGTCCATCTTCAGTGATGGGGTGCAGTGATTTTCCCAAAACGAAGTCACCTGGGGCAACGCCTGTACCAACATAGAAAGTAGTCAGATTTGGACACGAAGAGGCGAGAGCTGCCAGAAAATCATCATCAATGGTTTCCATGCCCCTGTTGCTCAAGTGCAGATGAGTGAGATCCGGGAAGGACACGATCACACGCTTGAGATCCTGGCGGGAAACCACGCGATTCTCCAACACTTGAAGGCTCGTAACGGACTGACGTGCGATGCGACGCCAGCGACGACAGACAGAAGCAATAAGGAGAACATGAGCGACATTGGCGGATGGCGGAGAATACGGAACAGGGTCCGGTAAAAAAATATCATCACGGACAGAAGTCGACCAACGAGCAGCGGTTTCGGGTCTGGGGATGGTTACGTCTGAATTCCATAAAATTCTTATCAAAACATCGTCAGGAAGGCAACTAATGTCTGAGGAGCTCATGTCTCGAGCGATTAACTGGCAGGTAAGAGCACGAATTCGTCTTACACAAAAAAGACCCGAGCTAGAAACTGGAAAGCCACACTTACAGATTTTGGTCTTAACAGTTCTTACAGGCCAGGCTAGAACCTGGGGGAGGCTCCTATATGCTGGAATTGTGTGGATGCGTCGGACTATCGAACAGCAGTTCTTGCAGAATGATCCCATGTAATGCACATTGAGAGTCTCAATCACGACTCGCGAACCATCATCATTCATGCATGCATGCAGGTTCCTAAACGAGGTTCCGCACTTCAGGTTCGGAATCTCATGGAGCCTATGCTTCGTTTGAATCACACCGAACCACCTAGCAGAGCCTGGTTGCGTCACCTCAGGCAGCCAGGAACAAGGGAGCGTTACCTCAGGCGACGAAGCATCATCACTCCAGAGAGGTTTCACACGGGGTCACCCACCTCGTCGCGAATCGAGTCATGCACGAAGGTCCCCTCCCCCGCACGGAATGCTCTGCGTGCCTCGCCCAGGCCATTCGTGGAAAATCGTAAACCGGCGGAATTCAGTGCCCACCAAACAGTGCCTAGAAATCAACTATATGTCCAGGATGCAGAGCTGAATTTGGTTTGGGCCGAAGAGCAAATGCCGAGGCTGTCGAGGCTGTCGAAGCCGTCATGTTGCCGAGACTACCGGTTCGGCCGTCGATTCGACGCTATTGACGCTACCGAGGCTGTGGAGTGGAGGCTGTGGAGGCTGTCATCGACACTCTCAAGTCTCGACGCTCTCGAGGCCGTGGACGCTCTCCACATTGTTGAGTGGAGGTTCCAGATTATGCATGTGCGGATTCTGGTCAGTGTACCCTCTAGTAAGTTGCCGCAGTTAATCCTTTTACCTTGAAGAAAGTGTTTTGATTCGAAAAGCACGCATTAGGGTATTCAGTTCACCACCAAACGATTTGTGTACTTCTCCAGCAATGCTTAGGCTACGTGGGTTCGCGCAATGGGTTTCTGCTACAGACAGGAAGTGTGAGCTCTTTATAAAATGAACAATCAACTGCAAGATTCAGTCAGAGACGAAGCAATGCACCAACCTGGTGAAGAGACTCAACAGCAACAACTTCACTAGCCACCACCTACAGCACCCGATGGCACGCAGAGGAATCACCTGCAAGCCTCTTGATCAGCTGGACGGGTATTGGCTCCTTCTCCTGCACCACCTACGCTCCCTACTGGCACACTGAGAGGAATCACCTCACCCTGCAGCTGCAGCAGCAGGAGCAGCTGCAGGTTAATTTACACCGTGCTGCATGTTAACAACGGCACCAGCAGCAGCAGAACTGACACTCTCAATCGCCTCCCCAGCACCCATGAGGCGCCAGCACTCTCATGTTGCGTGAGAGTGCAGGACGCCAGGGCCATTGCCACCTGAACCACCTGGATTCCCCGATGACACACCCTGCAGCTGCAACAACCAAGAGCAATCACCCTGCAGCTGCAGCAACCGCTGGGGTTGGGACCACAGCCTTGTATTCATTGTTACAATTGGCAACAGCAGTAGCGATGTCACTCTCACTCGCCTCCCCAGCACCCACGAGGCACCATGCAATGGCATGCAGAGCACTCTCATGCTGCCGGAGAGTGCAGCACGCCAGGGCCAATGCCTCCTGCACCACCTGCAGGACTGTTCAAAAAGGGTCTCACCCTGCAGCAGCTGGATGCACAGCCTTGTGTTGTGTGTTCACACTGGCACCAGCAACAACAGCACCACCAGCAGCAGCAGCGATCTCACTCGCCTCCCCAGCATCCACAAGGCGCCATGCAATGGCGTGCAGGGCACTCTCATGCTGCCGTAGAGTGCAGCACGCCTATGTTGGAATTTACGCGTTTAGCGTATATTTGCGTTTCGTATATACGCTAACGTGTATACGCCATACGCGTAAGGGTCAGATTGGGCATACGCTTTTCCGGGCAGGGAAAACACCCTCCCAGGCAGGGTGAAAAAAACTGCGTGCTCAACATCCGGGAAGGTAGGTACTCCCTACCCAATTCCCAGTAAGACTCGCTAGCCTTTTCCCAAGTCTGAACGGTGGTTGCGGTGGGATGCGGAGTAGATCGCTAGAAGTAGGAATTGGAAGGAAAGTTGTTGGGAAGCGGGAATGTTAAGTAGAAATCTCGAGTGCAGTTGGGCTGGCTGGCTGGCTGGTAAGGGCGCTTCACCTGTCGGTTCGAACAACACACTCGTTCGAACAGGCGAAACGTTACTCGTTTCGCCTATGTTCGTAGTGGTGATCGTGACGTCGCGAAGCACAGTTTCGCCAATTTGAACAGAGCTGTCACCTCAAGCACGATTTTCATCATCCCGCACGTTCGAACACGTTTGTTCGAACAGGTTGGGATAGGTGACATACAATTCCGCACAAACGACTGATATGATTGGTCCACAGTCTTCCGGGTCGCCCATGAACGTTTGCGACCAGGCCAGACGTCGCCATGAACGAGAATGTGCTCGCACGTTCAGCACGAATCGCATGCCTCTTGCCCAAAGGCCAATTCGTGTCGCCAATTCAACCCACCAATACAAATGGAGCCCACTCAATGGCATACGACTGAATTATTTTCTTGCGACGTTTTGCGAAGCCGTCCAACACTTGGCGACGTCGCATGTTCGAACAGGCTGTCACCTCTAGTCTCGAGCTGTCACATTCACCAGGGTGTTCAAATTTGTGTTCGGATCTCGTCGGGAAACTGTTCGTACAGTGAATTCGTTACGTATGTTCGGATTTGGGCCTTCCAGCCCCGAGGTGATGCGCCCTAAGTAGCGTGAGTGTGAGGTGGTTGGGGGAACACTTTTGACAGGTTGGAGTTTGTAGGTAGGATGGGTTTCAATGCGGTACAAATCGAAAGGTCAAGTTGGAACTACCAGAATACTTCAAAAGCACATTCCCGCTCCCCTAGACCGCCGAATTGCATTTCGACTTCGGCGAAATGCTCACCAGGAGAATCCGCATCTTCTCGTACACTTTCGATTTTTTTCCCGGGCAGCCCCAAAAAAATTCTGAGTGCGTATAGCGTATTAGCGTGCGTATAGCGTTTTGTGTATATACGCAAGCGTATATACGCATACGCTTATGGGTCTGAGCGTATATTCCAACATAGCAGCACGCCAGCCAGGGCCATTGCCTCCTGCACCAACTGCAACACTGCCTTCAAGGAGTCATCCTGCAGCAGCTGGATGTACAGCCTTGTGGTGTGTGTTCACACTGGCACTACCGGTAGCAACAACAGCACCAGCGACAGCAGCAGCGATCTCGCCCTCACTCGCCTCCCCAGCATCCACAAGGCACCATGCAATGGCGTGCAGGGCACTCTCATGCTGCCGGAGAGTGGAAGATGCCAGTGTCATTGCCTCCTGCACCACCTGCAGCACCCTCTGCTCATGAGCTCCCACCCCTGGCATCTCCAGGCCCCTCCCTACTCGTCTCACTGCTGCCGCTGCTGCTGCTCCTGCTGTTTCTCCTGCTCCTGCTGTTTCTCCTGCTCCTGCTCCTGCTGCTGCTTCTGCTTTGCCTTCCTCCATCCCTCCCCTCAGACCCTCCTGTCCACCTCTCATCTCCAGGGGTTCAGGCCAGGCTCTAAGGTCGTCCGGCCCGGCACCAAAGAGGTCAGGGAAGGCAGCGGAGGAGGGCACACGCCAGCCTGTGATGCGCGGCGTGTGGATGGCACTCTGCAGCAGCAGCTGCAGCAGCTGTTCTTGATGCTGTTGCTGTTGTTGCTGCTGCTGTTGTTGCTGGAACTCGGTTTCAGATTGACTGCTCGCTTGATTCTTTCCCACCTGTGGTGCCTTTGCCTGTATCGCCTCCCCCTGTGGTGCGGTGGGTGCAGCACCCCACACCTCTGGAGCGCGGCAGATGAGAGCAAAGGCCGTGGCGAGCGCAGCAGCTGATGGCGTGGGCAAGGGGGCAGATGGGAGGGCAAAAGAGCGCAGGCGCAGGAACGGAGCAGATGTGATGGGACAAGGAGACGGGGGGAAGAGGAGAGAGGAAAGGAGGGAAAGCAAGATACGTAGGGTAGGGGTGCTTAGGAAAAATGTTTCGCAAGAGTACAGGGGGAGAAAAGCGGGAGAAACAATTGGAGGGGGGTTGAGGGGGAAACAAAGATGGAACATGAGATGCAACGCAAATGCAACAATGAAACTAATAAAAGTACATACCATTTGCAAGATCATCTGAGAATGAGTACCAGCCGTCGGATCGAGTGAAATAATCAACTCGGCCAAACATTAACTCCTCTGCTGCCTGGTGTGGAGAGAAGGAGAGAGGAGAAACATTGCCGAGTGCTGAGGCATGAAGGAGTTGAACGAGCAGTAAAATAGGGAGAATAGAAGTGCAAGGATAAAAGAAAAGAAACGAATTCAGGCAAGCACACAATTATTACGACGCTTTAAAGCTCTGCCAGTGCATGCATGCATGCCCAAACCAATTCTCGACGCAAGGGACGTGGGGCAAAGACAACGTGTTGCATTGTATACAAAACATTTGTGAACAAGCCGCTAGGCTTGGAGACGATTCCTCCAACGGTAACATTTTGAGTCGCTTCAAAAGTCACAGGGGCATGCTGCGAATGTGTATACAGTCATGCATGTACATGCCTATCCATCTGCCTTTTGAGAAGTCTCAAAAATCCATATGCCTGCCACTTGCAGCCACTCCTCACCATGCCAGCTAGCCACACAGCCGTGGTGTGAACCACAACTTGTCACCACAGCATGCATGCATGTATATGCGTAAGTGTGTCCTATCTATATGCCTGCCACTTTCCGGCCACTCCTCACGATGCCAGCTAGCCACACAGCCATAGCATGAACCACCACCTGTCGCATGCCGGCATGCATGCATGTGTACGCGCGGCGCATGTGCCTGCTACTTATGCACATGCCGCCTACAGCCAGGCCTTAACATGCACGTGCCTGGCTGGGCACTCAGGGCACGGGCCCTCACCACTCGTCGCCAGCTAGCCACACAGCCATGGCGTCGGTCAACCACTTGTCGCACGCTGGCATGCTTGCATGTGTACGCGTATGTGGGTGCATGCATGTGTGTGCGTGCGTGCTATCTGTAGGCCTGCCTGCCACCTCAAGCCAACCCTTACCATGCCAGCCAGCCACACGGCCATGGCGTGAACAACCACTTGTCGCAACGGGATTGGCTCAATCTCCCCCCGCCACACGATGTCCGTTCCCCCCCAGTACTTGATTGGCCGGTAGGGCCCTCCCGGCGCTGCTGATTGGCCCTCGTCCTCCAGATACACCCCCTCCACCTGATTGGCCGATGGAGGTATGGGGTGGAACGGGGTGGCACGGGGTGGGATGGGTTGGGATGGGATGGGATGAGATGGGATGGGATGGGATGGGATGGGATGGGATGGGATGGGATGGGATGGGATGGGATGGGATGGGATGGGATGGGATGGGATGGCATGGCATGGCATGGCATGGCATGGCATGGGATGAGATGAAATGAAATGCTCTCACCCTTGCAAAAAGTATGGAGCCAGGCTCACACAGATCTGGGCATGCAAGAGGTGCCTTCCACAGATCTGGGCATGCAAGAGGTTAGGGCGTGTTACATTTTTCGAAGTCGCTGAAAGTCCGGACGACTGTCCGGACGCGTGCGAAGATTGCGACGTCGCTCGGTCACGTTGCGACTAATACGATGTCGTAAGGATGCAATACGAAGAAAGCGACGTCGTTTAGACCCTGACGAACTCACTGCCGAGATTTAACGAGTTTCGTAACCACACAATCGTCCGGACGTTTGGCCGTCCGGACGAAAACAATGAAAAATGTAACACGCCCTTATTTTTGAGTCGACTCTAAAACATGCCCAAAGTATGGAGCCAGGCTCACACAGATCTGGGCATGCAAGAGGTGCCTTCCACAGATCTGGGCATGCAAGAGGTTATTTTTGAGTCGACTCTAAAACATGCCCAAAGTATGGAGCCAGGCTCACACAGATCTGGGCATGCAAGAGGTGCCTTCCACAGCCTCAAGACGCCACTTACTCACTCCTTCACTCTCACTCACTCGAGCAAGGGGACTCAGAGCCTCATGGTATCAGAGCCTCATGGACTCAGAGCCTCATGGTATCAGAGCCTCATGGTATGCCTCATGGACTCAGAGCCTCATGGTATGCCGCAACGCAGCGACCGCTGTCTATGCGGGTAAGGGTGGATTCGTACCGCACTCTCTCACTCTCTCTTGCACCCACTCATTATTTCACCCACCCGAGCAAGCGGACTCAGCGCCCCCACAAGAGCATGCCCTGCCTCATGGTACGCTGCGAAGCAGCGATCGCTGTCCATGCGGGGAGGGACGGCTCTGGGCATGCAGCTGGTGGTGCCTTCAGCAGCCTCAAGCCTCCGCAGCTGCTGCTGCTGTTCCTCTGGCTGTTGCTGCTGTTTCAGGCGCTGCTGCTGCTGCTGCTGCTGCTGACGGCGATGGGGAGCAGAGAGAGGTGACTGCACGTCCAGCAGCAGCTTGCCGTGACAGTGGTCCATGGCTCGAAGAATGGACCGGGCTGCTGCTCCCTTGAACTGCAGGGCGGTTGAGGGCGGTTAAGGGCGGTGAGCAGGGTGAGGGGAATGAGGGAGGTAGGCGGGGGTGATTGCACGTCCAGCAGCAGCCTGCCGTGCGAGTGGTCCATGGCCCGAAGCACAAAGCATGCTGCTGCTCCCTTGAACTGCCGGGGTGGTTAAGGGCGGTTCATGGGAGTGAGGAAGGCGAGGGGAGTGAGGAAGTGAGTGAGGGAGGTGACTGCACGTCAAGCAGCAGCCTGCCGTGACAGTGGTCCATGGCCCGAAGAACCGAGCGCTGCTGCTCCCTTGAACTGCCGGGGTGGATGAATGCACCTGCTGCTGCTCCCTTGAACTGCCAGGGTGGATACAAGGGGATGAATGAATGCACGCACGTCCAGCAGCCGCCTGCCGTGGCAGTGGTCCATGGCTCGAAGCACCAAGCGCGCTGCTGCTCCCCTAAACTGCACAGGGAGTAAGGGGGTTGCGGAGTGGGAAGCAAGAGGATGGATGGGACAGGCTGAGGGGAGGGAGCGGAGGGGGGTCTAAGGCGTTGAAAGGGGTGACAACAGGATGATCGTAGGGTGGGATATATATTACAGGTGACTTTTGAGAATTCTCAAAAGTCGCACCAATATGTACGCAAGGCTATGGTGCATTGCGAGGTACACAGGCTACATGCATCGCCATGCCACACCTGGTAGGTACCATGCATGGAGCATATACACTGCGCACATGCTCTCATGTGTTGCTTGCTGCATGTATGTATAGCATGTATGTACTACACACACGTGTCTTGAGGCGCCTCAATAGACGTTCATGTTCAAACGTGCTGCGGGTCTCATCCTGATCCTCCCTTTGTCTTCTGACATTATTCTGACGGCTGGTGGGTCGGCGGTGGGTCTCATCCTGATCCTCCCTTTTTGAGGATTCTCAACCCTCCATACCTTGCTGCTGCTCGATACTCACCCAAAGTACGCGTGCTGCATACATACCACATGCTACAGCTCAATTGATACTTATTACACGTACCAGGAACACATGCTGCTGCTGCAGAGGTGACTTTTGAGTCGACTCAAAAGTCGCTGCATACCGCATGCTACAGCTCAATTCATACTGTTTACACATACCAGATACACATGCTGCTGTTGGTTCTCGTCGTGTGCCATCACACGCACCCACGGGGGTCTCTGTTGCAGGATAGGAGAGGGGGAGAGGAGAGGGGAGGGAAGAAGAGGGGAGGTACAAGAGGGGGGGAAAAAAGGGGACGGCGAAAGTGGATGGGGGGAAGAGGGGTGTGGGAGGGAGCAAGAGAGACACGCACTGAGGGTACTTTTTACTCTCTTTCTTTCTTGATAAAGCTTTTCTCTGGCACTGCTGCCCTTCCAACCATGAGTGACGAGGAGTAGGTTCACATGATGAGGCATGACACGCACACAGTGAGAGGGTAACGGAAGGGATGCGAGGGCCAGGATTAGATTCTGAGTTGGGCTAACATGTGTAGTTGGAGGCAATTGAAAGGGGACAATGGAGGCGGAGTTGAAAGTGGCTGGTCCATCTTGAAATCACTCTCGAGAATTCTCAAAAGTATAGACACCAGCCAACAATTCCGCCTCCATACGTGATGGACTAACCAGTGCCTACCACTGCAGCACTACCCATACTACCTACCTACTGTGATAGGGAGCGTTATCCCAGGCAAGAAAGGGCACGTCTCAAGTTGCTCCACTCACTCCCTCGGCATCTGAACGACACGTATGTTGCACAAATGCACCCATTCACTAGCAGGTGTAGCACACACATAGCACCTACAGGGTACTCACCATGACAAGTACACCTATCCCTGGCAGGCAACTTTTGAGACGTCTCAAAAGTCACCTACAGGGTACTAACCATGACAGGTACGGCTATTCCCGGCAGGCAGGGGCACGTCTCAAGCTGCTCCACTCGCTCCCTCGGCATCTGCACCACACGTGCGTTGCACAGCACGTGCACGCGCGGCCCATTAGTAGGACGAAGAATGCCGTCCAGCTCCTTGCCCCGACTACTGCTGCTGCCACTGCTGCTGCCACCGCCACCTGTACTGCTGCTGTTGCTGTCAGCCCCATTTACCCCTCCTCTTCTACTGCGCACCGACTTACCAGCAGGAACAGCAGCCCGCCTTCCCCCCATCAATCCCCCCAACGCTCCCCCCAGCGCTCCCCCCAATGTCCCCCCCAGTCCCCCAACCCCTTCCCCCACCTTCCCCCCCATCATCTTCCCCACAGCGCCCCCCACTGCTCCCCCCACAGCTCCAGCAGAAGCTGGAAGCTTCTCAGAAGGTTCCTCAGTGGTGAGGATGACGTCATGCAGGGCCCCCAGCTGGGGGGCCACCACTGCAGTGATGCTGCCGGTGCCGTCAGTGAGTTTGCCGGCCATATCCGCCACTAGATCCAAACTCACGCTGCCCAGGAGCTTTTCTGTGACAGGCGAGCAGTCCCGAGTGCGGTGAATAAGCCGAATCAGTGGATACTGCACGAAATCGTATCTCTTCTTCGCAGCATCGCTCCTATTATTTTCATTGCTCCCATCACTCCTCCCACCCCCATCACCCCCTCTGCTGCTCCCATAAGCATCATCCATCCTCGTTCCCCCATGGCCATTATTAATCTTCCCACCTGCTCCTGTCCCCTCTGCTGCTCTGTGCTTCTGCTGCAGCCTCAGCTTCAGCGCCTGCAGCCTCTCCGCAGCACTCAGGTTGTCGCTGTCTAATGTGCCACTTGACATTTCACCTGAAGAATCACCTGAAGAGCCATCTGCGCCTGGAGCAGGCGTGTGGAATGCCAACGGCATCTAGCGCAAGGAGAGGAGCAGGGGAGATCGAGACAAAGGGGGGGGATTGGGGAAGGCAGGGGCGATTGAGTAAAAGGGGGGGGGGGTGTTGGGGGGAGCAGGGGGGATCGAGAACAAGGGGGGGACTGGGGGGAGCAGGGGGGATCGAGAAAAAAGGGGGAGATTTGGAGGAGCAGGGGGGATTGGGGGGGAGCAGGGGTGATCGGGCGGAACAGTGGTGATTGTGGGGAGCAGGGGGGTTGAGAAGAGAAAAGGAATTGAGGGGAGCAGGAGTAAATCTACGAGAACATGGAAAGAATTGGTGGAAGGAAGATGGGGAGGAATTCCGAGGGAAATGAGTTCAGTACTTGCATACGACAGACAGAGTGCGTTTCAACCAAATGCCTCCTTACCAGGTGCCTCACTATAAGCCAAAAGTCCTCGCAGTGCTGCACTGTAGCGAAATCGTGCTTCCGCCCATCCGGAAGCTCCTCAACCACCCTCCGCGCCAACCCTAATCCGCCATCCGCCTTTCCCCCTCCCCTTCCCCTTCCCCCACCTCCCATTTCTCCTCCTGTCCGCTCTCCGTCCCCTGCCGTCGCGGCCGCCTGCCATTCTCCCCGGCGACAGCGATGGCGACGGCTGCGACACAGTGGCTGCGACTTATTCAGTAATCGCGAGGTCTGCGATCTCCATCCGAGAAACGACGTGGGACGCTTTTCGCCGTTGAACAGCCGCCTCTCCGCGTTCGGTGCCGATCGTCGCTGCGGCGTCGATTCTTGGCCGCAAGAGCAGCGGCATGTGCGCTGCGGTTCGATGAATCGTAACGGTTTTTGAGACGTCTCATAACGAGATTGTAACGGCGAGAGCGAGTGTAACGCCACGTGACACCGTATCGTGGTCAAATTCATCGGAATGCGATGTGATGTTAAAAAGGGGGGTTGTTCCACAGCCAGGAGTGCTTGAAGAGCGCCGGCGACATTGTCGGGCCAGTGAAGGGGTGTCACAGAATCTGCTGAAGAAGAGGTGATAGGGATTGCGGACCGCGATACATGTGGTGGACTGAAGTGAACGGCGAGGGTTTTTTTCTGAAGTCCCTGCATCTCACTGCACTACTCGAAACCACGAGAATGTACAGCATACCGTTCTGAACCCCGTGAAATGGTGTCACTGTCACCATCTCACATTGTTGGCGTTCAGTTTTGTGCTAAGCATCGACGATTTTGCTGTGACAGGAATGTAGCGGAATGATCTCCTACTGGAAGAAAATAAGCTTTATAAAGCGTATGATTTTAAATTCTGGCATATCCAACCACTGAGGAGGACTGGCCTACAAATGTCATGTCAAGCACCCAAAATGCGCTTCCGCCAGCAGAATAGTAGACCGTATGGTGCCAGCATGACATGGCTGGCATGGCCCCTTGGGACCACAGGCCATGATGTAGGGGCACCCGAAAAGGACAAAAAGCTCGCGTGGCACCTATTACTTCACACGGCTGACAGACCTGGCAAGCATCCATTGGCTAACACCTGGGCACTTGACCTCCTTGGCTGAAGGTGTGTGGCCTAACAGCGCAAGTGATTGAGAAGCTACGTCAGCAAGTACTCTGGTTAAGATGGTTGAGAATACCCTGGTATGGTTACGCTTTGTTTTGAGTGGTTGAGTACGGTGTGAAGTCGACATGGCCACCGGCTTTTGCACCTTTGGAGCTCGTCACCGTTTAGGACATTGCTGCCTTCCACATTTCTCGGCAACATCGAGATTTCCAGTCCAGCAGGCGTCCCCCGGCCAGTCGAGATTTACCTCGGTTTCGTCGGGTGCGTTACGGTCCAGAGAGTGCAGGAGTATGAACCGCGTTTTACCGTGTGGAAACTTGCTGAATCGTACTGAACCAGAAAAAGCCTGTACGGTGCCATGTCACACATATTTAGTTCTACCTTCAGTTCTGATAATAACGTTCAGTCTGCCTGATTACTTCCATGTACAGATTCGAGGTGCTTTCTCCCTAATCTGACGCTTCATCGCGCTGTTTTTTAAGAGCGGTCTCCCTCTCACTACCCTCTCCTTCACTCTCGGTTGTCGCCATGAAGGCATTCAAAAAGCCAGCGTTCTTACAGCGATCATTGTCAAAAGGAAGCTATCTCGATGGGAAGAAGATTAAGAAGCTACTCAACGACGAGACGGCATTTAGCGCATTTTTGAACAAGTACTTCGATCTCCTGGATGACGACAAGAGCGGGAAGCTCTCCCGCGCGGAGCTTAAACCCGCATTAGTGCGATTCGGGACGCTCCTAGGACTACCGCCTGCGGGAACGACGGCGGAAGGAGACGAGTTAGTGGATCGATTGTTCACGACGCTAATGGCGGACAACTTAACGGAGGAGGTCGACCGAGAGTCGTTCATCACGATTTCCAAAGAGTTCTTAAAATCCGTCTCTCAGGAGCTCGAAAGTAAGCACCACCGGTCTCTCCTTCCCACTTCTTCCCACCGTGACATTCATCGACATTTTCATATTTTTTTCTGATAATCGCATCAAAACGAGACAGCGCCAATGTGACGCATATCGAATGCGAGGTAAATCAAATGTGCATCGAGCGTTTATTGACTTCTGCACCAAGACCAAATTAAACGTTCTCGTATGCCCCAGGAAACGACGAGCATACGGCGACGTGACGTATGTTGACGTGGCGCGTGCCCGTGCAGTGGCGTACGGTGGCTGTTCCTATTGTGATTCGTGCATCAGGAACAACATTTCACCATCTCACTCTCACACTCCTCACAGCAATCGACCCGATATGCATTTTCTTCGTGCAAAATTCGCTGATCAGGATTTACGGAAGGTGAGTGGAGACTCGTTCCAGGGATCGCCCCCCAAAGATCCACCCCCCTCCCCCTTTGCCTTAGTAGTACCCGAGGGCCTCGCTTCAGAAAGCAAGAAGCAGTTCAAGTGCCTGAGAGGCGTTCACGAAGCATGGATCTGGTCGGAAGGAGACGGCAAGCGACATCTTGAAAAGAACCACAAGGAATTCACTTCGTGCTCCGTGCTCCTTTCTCCTTGCTCCTTGCTCCCTGTTCCCTCCTCCCCACCCCCATGTTCGCCCGTCCCCTCCTCGTCTCCTCTCTGCCAGCCAAGCCGGTGGTGGTGGAGGTGTACGAGGGGGGTTGCTGAGGGAACTAGCAGACAGCGGGAGAGGCGAGCAGCTGACATTCTCACTTCCCTCCCCATTCTCTCACTTCTCACTAGCAGGAAGGGACACCCCTTCCTTGATGAGCCAAGCCGGTGGTGGTGGAAGTGTGCGACGGCGGGTGCTGAAACACCTGGGAGACAACTCGGTGAGGTGATCTGTGCAAGGATTTCACTTCCCCCCCATCCCCCCGCTTCCCTGCTTCATCAGCGAAGCCCGTGGTGGTGGAGGTGCACAACTGGGGGGTGATGCGGGAGCTAGCGGACAACCCTCAGCGCCAGGCGATCAGGTGAAGGACTTTATTTCCCTCCCCATGCTCCCCTCCCCCTCCTTGATCAGCCAAACCCGTGGTGGTGGAGGTGTACGATGGCGGGGTGCTGCGGGAACTGGCTGACAACCCGCAGCAGTTCAAGGAGATCGCGTGTGACATCTTCAAGGAGTTTGACGAGGACGGCAGCGGCACACTCTCTCGCCTCGAGCTCAAGCCCGCCTTCGTCTCCCTCGGCCTCGTGCCGCCCTCAGGTGAGACAAAGAAGGCTTTTCTCGTTACTTTGTGAGCGATCTTTCTGGCTTTCTCAACAGCCACTCGAGCAACGGATTCCAAATCCTCCCCTCTCGCCACCACTTTCCATTTTCATTCTCCCCCCTTCACATCACAGCCCACTTGGAAGTGGACGCGCTGCTGTCAAGAGTGATAGGCAAGTACGGAGGCAGCGACCTGCAGGTGGACGAGGGGGAGTTTGAGCTGATGCTGAGGGACATGGTGAAGGAGCTCTCAGAGGAGCTTGCGTGCCGCCCCATCATCCTCTCCGCCGAGAAGAAACCCGTCTTCACCGGCTCCTTCGTGCGCCAGGTGGGTCAATGGAGAGGCTCCTGCTTACCAGCGTGGCTAGTGTGTGATTTGGGGCGCCAACTACCTTGCAGTACGGCAAACGTGCTGTTAGCGCCCCATCATTCTGTCAGCCGAGAAGAAACCCGTCTTCACCGGCTCCTTCGTGTGCCAGGTGGGTCGATCGAGGGGTGGGTGGGCGGGTGGGTGGGGACCAAAGAGACTGACCCAACCATAGAAAAAAAGAACCAAGAACCCAACAAAGACATCTTCTGTCGACTTGAAGAACCACCTGAGGATGAGGGCCAAGGAGACCGACAGAGGGGCTGACCCAGCCATTGAAACAAGACAAACTAAAGGCAGACGATTACAATCCGCTCCGCTTGCTCCATGTCCCCCGTCCTCCCCTCCCATCCTCTCCCCTTCTGATCCCATCCTCCCCCGCAGCTCACGGGCGATCGCCAGCGCTTTGACGCCGTGGCGAGCCAGCTGTTCATGGAGTGGGACATCCTAAAACGAGGACGGCTCTCTCGCACCGAGATCACCCTGGGGTTCAAGAAATACGCGTCTTCATTCGAGGTTCAGCTGCTGACGCCAGGGGAGGCGGAGGAGCTGTGTGCGCGGGTGTTTAGCAAGGCGGACGAGGACCAGAGTGGGTTTGTGGAGTTTGACGAGTTTGACGGCGTGCTCAAGGAGCTGCTCAATGGCATGGCCAAGAAACTCGACCGCAACCCTGTGGTTACCACGTCAGGTGAGAGAGAAGGAGCTAGGGGTGCCTGGGTAACAGCGTGGCTATGTGTTTGGTGGTGAGATGGAAAGTGGCGTGTGTGTGGGCTGTCTGGGAAGTGGGCTCGGACGCTCAGGTGAGAAGAGCTAAGTAGCAAAAGCTGGAGCAGCAGCAGCATCAGCAGCAAAAGCACACTCCACATTTCCCGTTTTTCTTTAAGAAGTAGTCTCTCATCATCTCTTTCAATCGCTCTCCACCCTTTCTCTCCCCACTCACACCCCTCCATCCCATCTCCAGTCTCCTATTCTTCCCAGCAGCACTTTCTACATCCGGCTTTTTCCTCTCTTCTTCCCCCCTGCTTATTCGCCCCCTCTCTCTTGCACTCATCCTTGTCATCCTGCCATCCCTCTCATCCCGCCGTCCCACTCGTCCTACCATCCCACTACCAGACTCCTTCAAATCCAGCAGTGGTCTCTTCGGCTGGTTCTCAGGCAGCAGCACCAGCAGCAGCGCCTCTTCTAGTGGTCAGTGCTCGTCCTAGGCCTCGTTCTCGGTATCCCGTCTCTCGTTCTAAGTCCTCGAACAGTCAGTGCTGGCTCTCGTTTACAATTCGTGTATGTCCACCTTTTCTCCTCGCCTCTCAAGCACCCCCATTCGCCCTTGCCCCTCACACGTTGCATCTCCTACACAGCCTCCCCTCTAACACGTAGCCCTTTTGCAATTCCCGTAGCACATCCTCGTTCACCATTTTCCCGTTACTCCACGTTCCCTATCACCCTTCCCTCTCACATGTCCTCCTGTGCAGTGCAGCCAAGGAACCCAAGCCACAGGGCAATCAAAGTGGTGCCAACGCAGCATCTCCTCTCACATATCCACTTACACGTCCCCCTTTGCCCTCTCCTCTCACACGTTCCTCTTGTCCGTGCCTCCCACACACCAACCCGTGCAGCCAAGGAGCCCGAGCCAGTGGTGCCAAAGCAGCGATCAGTGGCCGATATCAAAGCAGCACACAACTACAAATCGAAGCTCGTGAGTGCTAGGCACTTTCCACACAGATTTGGCTTCACCGTGATATCCATTTTGACAGTGCTATCTCGCACCTTGTAACATTTCTGTGTTTCCCTTGGGGGTCTTCTTCCAGGGCAATGCCATCTTAATTTGTTGCTCCACGTTTTGCTCATGTCTCTGGCCTACTCCTCATCGCTCTCACCTGCTCCTCATGTCTCTCTCACCTTCCTCAGATGTCTCACATGTTCTTCATGTGTCCCACGTGTGTCTCATGCAGCCATCTGCTGGCTCAGCAGGGGCTGCAGCAGCTGATGCAAGGAACAAGCTGGTGGAACGAGGAGAGAAGATCAGTGTACGTTGTTTCATGCCATCCATCCTATCTCATGCTATCCACAACATGTAGGGCGCTCTACTTTTGTTTGCCTGCAGTTATTCCCTAGCTCTCTCTTCCAATTCCCTCCACCGCTTCTGTTTTTCTACATTCCCTTCACTTTCCAGCTCTCACTCACGTCTCTCATCCCACGTCAAATTCGCTCATGTCTTGCTCCAATGCTTGCATGGCAGAAACTGAACGACATGGCGGATGAGCTGGAGGCAGATACAGCTGAGTTCAGTGACTTGGCAGCACAGCTCAAAAAGAAGATGGAGAAGAGGTGGTGGTGACTTGCTGTTTTTGAAGATATGCCTTATGTTTTCACGGTTGCGTTGCTCCTGGTTCGAAGAGGTGGAAAATGTTGCTTTGTATAGATGCCCTAAATTAGGGGGTCATTCATTATGGAACGTGACACTTCCTGGATGTTGCAGCAACTCATTTATGGTGAACTGGGCAGCCTGATTTTTCACGTGTCCCATCACTAGAACGTTTGAGAGAAGGCTACAATGTTGGGGAAATACCAGTAGGTTGTTCCAAATTCCCAAGTCATTCTTCACAATACCAATCTGTTATGAATGAACTTGCAGAGTGCGCAGAATATCGAATAACGAGAATGAACTGATTACCGAATTACTGAATGATGATACCGGTACAATGGAAGTGACGAAGCCTACCGTATTACCCCGGATATAAGCGCACCTGCGCTTATAATAAAACAGTGTTTTTTTGGGGGGTGCGCTTATAATTGAGTAAAATTTATAAGCGCATGCGCTTATAATATAACAAATACAAATATATATTTCAATGCCCCAAATTCTACATCTCATCCTTCAGATTTCAATCGAATCGAAATTGTAGAAAGTCACATGTCAAAATCGCGCGCGGGCGATTCTTTGCGAGCGCCCAGAGGCAAAATACAGTGTAACACCTCACTTTGAGGGCGTGCCAGCTCGTGCTGACTGGACGCGCAGGATGTGAGAGGTCTTCGAAAGTCAATGTAAGCGAAAATGGGTTGTGGCCTCGCTGCAAAACTGAGATTCGTTACCGTTTTAATGAAAAAATAAAAAAAATTGCACATGCGCTTATAATATATCAGGGTTTTATAAGGGGTGCGCTTATAATTGAGGATCGGCCATAAGCGCATTGCTCCAGATACAAGCGCATGCGCTTTTAATAGGCCTGCGCTTATATCCGGGGCCATACGGTAAATAGGGGAAGTCCTAGCAAGGCGGGGAGGTTGGGCGAGGATGGCTCGGTGATGGATGCGATTGGTGCGGAGGCGACTCGGGGGTGGTTCGGTGCGACGAAATAGGAAGGACAGGTTCGTCGTGTGACCCTCGGGATGGCCTCGCTAACGAGTGCCTCAGTAAGGATTCTGGAAATCCTTACACAATCAATGTGCTCACTATGAAATCGTACAATGCAGTCGTTTCGTCGCTCTCACAGTGTCAGGAGGACAGGAGCATGACGTGGTGCCAGGATGGCGGAGTCCCACCGAAATCTCGAGAACAGCGGGTTACAAACAACTTACAACGGTTCGACTCCCCCTCCCTACACGCACATTCGACCCAGGTGAAGCAAAGTACGCAGCCCTGCTCCGTTGATTGCTTGCTCGCGTTCCTGCTCTCTGGCCTTCCGTCACACAAACGGGATTTAGTGGGTTACACTATGCTCTCTGCTCTCTGCTCTTGCTCTGTACATGCTGGATTGATTCAGACAACATTGGTCCTAACAGTAAGAAGCTGCATTGTCCAGAAAAGCAGGCCTGAAATCTCCCGTTGTGTTCTTATCTTGATTCCTTGTCTTATAGATTCCTCTCCTAAGGTGGTCTCACAAGAGTAGGGAGTTGTTTCCGAGATTCGAAATCCGAGCCCTCGCAGGTCAACTATAGGACATGTCTTCCACAAGCATCCATTGTCTTCCTGACGATGCTCTTGTCAGGATCTTCTGGTATTCTGATGCTTTCCGGCCGACGACTTCATTGTCTCTCTCCGAGTACGCTTATCCATGGAACGGACCAGATCCAGGCCCTGATCCACATTTTACGACGCCTCCAGCATCTGCCAATGTCGCTCACGCTCTCCTCATCGCCTCCGTTTGCCGTCGCTGGCGGGAGCTCGCACACGAATCCGTCACCACGCTTCACATTTTACAAGATCGGCTGGTTTCTCGCCAGGATCTGAAACGCGTTTTGGTGACCTTTCCGCATCTCACTCACCTGCACTTGAGTTAAGGAAGCATGGAAATGATCGACAACGATTTTCTAGCCTTTCTCGCCTCTTCCTTTCCGAAGCTAACTGTTCTTTATGTCGGCACAGGCATTGCTTTCGACGAAGTCCTCAAGTATGACGAGGAACCGACGACTTCCATTGAAGATTCGGACCACCCCGTCACTGCACCTCGCCTGGATAGTCTCTTCCGCCATTGTCGCCGCTTGGAGCAGCTGACACTGCAGTGTCTTCATCGGACAACGAATCTTCCTTCTTCCTTCTTCCAGTTGACGCGCCTGCACACGCTCTCACTGGGGGGAATACTGCCTCTGGAGGATCCCAACTTCGCCAATCTATCTTCTCTCACGAAGCTTTCGATTCAAAAGTTGGACATGCGACTGCATCAGATGTCGCCATTAATCAGCCTTCCAAATCTGACCAGTCTGTTCTTTCCAGGAGAGACATCGTTCCACGATTTTGAAGGGAATTTCTCATTTGGCCAATTGTCGACGCTTCGTTCGCTGGGATTCGTGCACGGGTCGACGGATTTCCCTTCAATGTTTCCGTCGGAATTACCGTTCTTCTGCCTTCAACGTCTGCTGCTAACCCATGTCTCGGACATCTTACCTGAAGATCTTGGCGAACGATTTCCGACGCTTCTCGAACTCTGCCTTTCCGAAAGCCGAGATTTGACTGAGCTGCCAGATTCCCTCACAAGCATCAGCACCTTGGAGATTCTCACAATTTCCTACTGCGGTATATCCAGCCTACCTGAAAATCTTGGAAATCTTTCAAGGCTGAAGTCCATAGTGTTGAGAAGCTAGACGCTGAGGAAACTTCCGGATTCTATTGGGTTACTCACCGGGCTTCGGAAGCTGGTCATGGACTGTGGGGGCATTGACATCCTCCCTGCAGCAATTTCCAGCTTAACTGCTCTTCACTCGTTGAGCATCAGGGAAGCAATGATGACTTCAATCCCAGAGGAGATAGGCAAGTTGAGCAGCCTCCGCATTTTGGTGCTGAGCAGATGTGCCTCCCTGCAACTGCTGGCGTCGTCATTCAGTCGTCTCTCTTCTCTTACACGGATTGATATCTCAGACTGTCCCATCTTTCACCTTCCAGAGGGTACAGGCCAGCTGAGTGACCTGCGAGAGTTGACATTGAGCTGGTGCAAGGAGTTGACAGAACTGCTAGAATCCATCACTCAGCTGAGCCGCCTACAGACTCTCAAGGCTAAAAAATGTTACAAACTCGCTTCTGCACCGCGAGCCATGGGATACCTTTCATGCCTGCGGGAGCTGGATCTGACGGGTTGTGATCTCTCAAAGGAACCTTTGGAAACTTTGCCACGGTCGCTGGAAACCTTGAGATTGGGAAATGACACCAGCAGCGTCATTCTGCCTGACATGTCAACGACCCCAAATCTGAGGATTTTGAGGTTAACTCAGGTTACTGTCATGGACGCACTAGCCAGCAGCCGTTGCCTCTCTCGGATTGAGCACCTGGAGATGCGCCTCAGCTCTGAACAAACCGAGTTTCCACTCTTTCTCCGGTTCCTTTCATCCCTCCGCGTTCTTCACATCTCACGTGCCAAGTCCTTGGAGCACCTGCCTCATGATATCGGCTTTTCTCTGCCTCAGCTGCGGCAGCTGCATGTGGAAGGGGCAGAATCGCTGCTGGAGATTCCAGAGAGTGTATCATGCCTTGCGCAACTCAGATCTCTTCATCTTGAAACTCCTAGTCCGACCCATCTTCCGGAAAACCTTTCTCTCTTATCACGACTGGGTGATCTCAGCCTTAACAATTGCTCCTCCCTGACAAGTCTGCCTTCTTCTATCACCGACCTCGCTTACTTGCACAGATTGGATGTTAGCAATACATCGCTTCACTTCCTCCCTCCCAGCCTCCACCATTTGACGAGGCTTAGGGAGCTGGATCTGAGTGGCTGTGAGCAGCTTCAGTCCCTGCCATCACAAGAGCTGCGGTACATGACGCTGCTGCGAGAGCTGAATGTCCACGGCTGCACGACGCTTGGGCCAGAACTAGTTCCGGGCGATCTTGACGTGAAGCATGGCCTCATGTCGCACCAGGACTACCATCCCGATACATGGTGGTAGGCTCCATCAGGTTGTTTGAGGGTGCAGCTTTGTAGATAGCTGTTATATTTAGCCATAAGCGTAGGCCATGCAGCAGTTGTGCATAAGTGTCCTTTGTGTAGGTCATGGACGTGCAGTGAATTTGGAATATGTACTCAATAACTGTCAGAACATTATAGCTTACTTATTTGTGTAGGCTATAGTGGGGTATCCCATAGGGGGTACAACCCAATTAGGGTTTCCTATTTGTACTCACTTCGTTCATAGTCATTCATCCTCGTTCGCTTCTTCTCATGGAATCAGAGCAGGTTCCCCTGTGGGAACCGTGCTTAGGGCCCACCACTTAAAAGTTTTTTTTTCTGCCCTAGCGCCTTGCGCCCTAGCGCCTACCCTATCGCCCGCCCTAGCGCCCTAGCGCCCGCCCTAGCGGCCGCCTTAGCGCCCGCCCTAGCGCCTGCCCTAGCGCTCTAGCGCCCGGCGCCCGCCCTAGCGCCCGTTCGCCGCCCGCGGCCTGTCCGTGCGCTGCCGCCCGTGCGCCGCCGCCCGTGAGCGCCGCCCGTGAGCACCGCCCGTGAGCGCCGCCCGTCAGCGCAGCCGCCCGTCAACCGCCGCTGGTGCGCCGCCGCCCGTGACGCCGCCGCCCGTGAGCCGCCGCCCGTGAGCCGCCGCCCGTGAGCCGCCGCCCGTGAGCCGCTCGCCCGTGAGCCGCCCGCCCGTGAGCCGCCCGCCCGTGAACCGCCCACGACGCCGACGCCGCCGACGCCGCCCGTGCACCGCCGACGCCGTCGACGTCACCCGTGAGCCGCCGATGCCGCCGACGCCGCCCGTGAGCCGCTGACGCCGCCGTCGCCGCCGACGCCGCCCATGAGCAGCCGACGCCGCCCTCGAGCCGCCCGTAAGCCGCCCGTGCGCCGCCCGCGAGCCGCCCCAGCCGCCCGTGAGCCACCCGCGAGCCGCCCTAGCCGCCCGTGCTGTCGCCCGCAA